ATGTTGACTTTTTTTTTAATAATGAGAATAAAATATATTAATTTGTATTTTTTTTTTGTTCAATAGAGTTTGCAGCTGGAATGATACTACCAAAAAAAGATAATGTAAAAGAGAATATTTCAAATATCATTTCTGGATTCAATGCAAAAGTAAGTATAGAGACAATTATAAAAATAATATTCGAAATATTTATGCAACATCGCAAAGTACTATTGCGTTTTGAATTCATGTGTTTTGGCTGAGTAAAGAAATTGAAAAAGTAGTTATATAGTGATATACTAATGATATGCATATGTTTATACATATTAATCACACACGTAATATTTTGAATATATCAATTTTTATCAATATGGATGAGTGACTATTTTATTTTGTGCAAATACAAAAAATGCAAACGTTCCGATTCAAGTTTCTATACTTTTGCGAATTTTTGTGTGAATCAATTTAAATTGAAGATTTTAGCAGAAATTATTTGAGTTTCTTCTATTTTACGGTTTATTAATTACACATTTTTTAATTAATTGTTGAAGATGCAAATGAATTCCACAGTGGTGTCGTCAAATAAGGAAAAATCATTGGGAACCAAGATTTTAACATCAACAATCAAACAGCAACAGAAGTTCCAATGTAGAGCAGAGGATTTCTATAATGTGTTCACAAAAAACGAGGTAAAGTCTCTATCATTTTGAAGGAACATAATAATTACTCTAAGTACAACACAAATTTTAATGTCTTGGATTACGAACTTTTATTAAATGTTTCTGATCGATTTTCGGAAACTAAACATAAATTTGAAATTTTTTTAGAGAATGTCAAATTTAGTAATAGTTATGCAGTTCTAATTTACCCATTAGTAATCTGTGGGCTTTTTTGAGCAAACATATATAGTTCAATATTACATTACTAATTAGGAAGTTTAAATATATATAAACTATACCGCTGTTTGATTAATCATATTCGTCACATTAACGAAAAAACATTACTTTAGTTAGAATAGAAATATCACTAGCTTGTATGATTACAAATTGTGCAAAGTTTATCCACCCTGCAACTTTGTTTCCTCATGTAAACTGTGCAAAATTCTATGGAAATCTCTTTTATTCAAGATCTTTACCTATAAATTTGTAAACAATAATGTTATTTTTCGACTGTACTTAAGTCTTTTAAGTAAATCTTGGGGCTAAATACGCTACATAAATACCTCAAAAGTTGTACTATACCACTTGATCATAGCATAAAACCAGTCACCATGTTTCGAATGTTCTAGAAAAAATTTGACTGCGATAAGTCTAACGTTTTTAAATTCTCATTAGTGATTTACTGATTTCAAAAGCTTGCCAAAAGCTTGCTAATTTGTCTTTTACATGGACTTCTTAAATGGCTTTTAAGTGTCACAGTACACGTTTTGGTAGAATTCAATGTTTCTTTATCTGATTGTTATTGAATTAGTTAACTTAATCCCCTGAAAAAATAATATAAGATTATGTTCTGCATGATAGATACATGAATGTATCAGATTAATTCTTGACAATTATTTACTCATATTTACTTTCAAACAATTAAAAAAGAAAATTTATTCTCTAATAATTATTCAATCTTTTTAATTCACGTACAAGTTTATCGTTTGCAAATGTAAAAGCAAGATTGGACAAATTTTATTTGATCCTATAACAAAGCAAGTATGAAAGTACTTTCCTTGTTTATCTTCCTTATACATCAATTACTATTTTAGAATCATTTTGAATGATCATATACTGAGCGGTGTAATGACTATTTACCATATCTCCGAAACAATGGAAGAGAAAAATTTGTTTAACAAAAGTTGCACGGTATAGAAGGGGTCATCATATGGCGATGAAGATTTCTTTGTAGGCAGAGGTACTTGCGAGATATTATTTATATTTTAAAATACAAACAGTTGCTAGTGACAACTGTTTATACCAATAAAATGATCTTAACAACATTATTATTCACCTTCTTTTGTTATTACTGGTATTTTGATTTTGACGAAGAAAGTGGTGATAGTGGAAATGTTGGACCATTTTTTTAAATTCGTGAAACAAAAGAATTGGAATTTAATTTCATTTGGTATATCCACAAAATTATTATAAATGCATTAATTACAATGATCTTTTGATAAGGAATTTGCTTTCAAACCAACAATGTTTTTTTTACAGATGGTTCAGGCATTCACGAAAGGACCGGTAAAATTAGAGCCGAAGAAAAGTGGAAAGTTTGAACTGTTTGGTGGTAACATTCATGGAGAATTCACTGAAATTACGCCCACAAAGATTGTGCAAAGGTGGCGTTGCAAACAATGGCCTGATGGACACTTCAGTGAAGTAACTATTGCAATCTCGGAGAAGAATGATCATACTGAAGTTAATTTAACACAAACCGGTGTTCCATCCAGGTAACAAAAGCAAAATGTTTTTCTCTTATAATAATTATACATACCTCTACCTTTAGATAAACTGTATTCCTCTACATCATTTTATTGTTTACTACCAACACTTTACTACCACATTGTAATTGTGGAATAACATGTAATAATTTGTATCTGTTTTGCAGTGAGGAAGATTCAACGAAAGAGAATTGGGAGAGGTACTATTGGGATGCTATAAAACGTACATTTGGATTTGGCTATTTCATGTGATCTATGTATATTTTAAGTTTATCTTGCTTATTGATAAGTAGAAGAATTATTAAAATGTGTACTATTGTGCGTCGCCTCGCATGTCTTTTACGAATTAGCCACTTAATAATCAATCTTAAACAAACTGTGTCTTGTCTCGATTCTAGTTACTCGAACTTTTCATTTTTCGACATTTTCTATTTAATACGCTGCATCATTTAAGCAGAGCATCATGTTTTGCTTATACTTGAAATATCGATGAGACGTCTGTATTGATAGTTGTATATGTCAAATAAAACAAGTTAAACAC